GGGGGGGTGGGGTGGGGGTGGGGGGTGGGGGGTGGGGGGTGGGGGGGGGGAGGAGAGAGAGAGTGCATGCATGTCACAGGGGCGGATCTAGATATATTTTCTGACAGTCTTCCGAGTTATCTTTGTTGATCCATGCACTATTTTGACCGTCTTCCGACAAAAAACATACGGTACACGTCAATGTAAACTTGAAAATCTGACCGTCTTCCGGAAGACCCAGAAGACGGCTTAAATCCGCCCCTGCATGAAGGATAATTTTTCATATGCACGTGAAAAAGTGACGAAACATTAAACCACTACGTTACGAATAATCGTCTGGAGACTTCATGTCCAAAAATTTACTTAGATTTTAAGTTTCCAATACCAAAAGAAATGTTCATTTCTTTTTCTTCGAGGAGGCGGTATAGGACTGCATGGTTTGACAAACTTGGCAAAAACTACTCCGATGAAAGTATGACGTGAGCCATGTTGGGATAACCCGTGACCTAGAAGATGCCATTTTATTTTGGGGTGGATAGGATCTGAGCAATATTTTTTTATTCTGCTTAATTTTAAAATATGTTAAACACAAACCGGTTCTTCGTATTTTATTGCAATTTTTTTTTATTTATTGTTAATGAAGTTTTACCTGTCAAATTAAGATATGTCAGATAAATTTGCAAGGTTCACCCTGCCCCCCTCCCCTCCCCCTTGGATCCAACCTACACCCTAGAAAGAGATACTACTCCCCCAGTTCTGAGTACACACGGATCGGAGACGAGGAGGTACAGACACCAAGTATTCGTATATTTGAATTTCAACGGGTTCAGTGCAATTTTAAGAAGTTTAGGTTATACATCTAATGGTGATTTATTTGTGATTCATTTTTGATAAGTATTTTGACGCCTGCATGTTTAAAATTTGTTTTGGATAATCCTCAGTATTTCCCCACGTATTCTTTTGCTTCCTCCATAATTTTATCTCTTTACGTTCCGTGGAATTAAAAAAAGAGCCTCATATTTTGAACTCCGTTGGTAGCAGTAGTAGAGGCAGTAAACCCTGTAGTGTAGTCGAGAAGTAGAAATGTTGTGGAATGTCCCGTGTTAATTCCTAGCCATTGACGTGTTGATATTTAGTTAGCTGTTGGTATAATTGTAAAAAAACATGTATCTTTTTCTACGTGTACTAATATACTTCCTTTTATGCATCTTGGCAAGAATTCATTACTAAATTCTTATAGTTCAGCTTGTTAAAGGCGCAAAATGCTGTTTAAAAAGGATTTCGGTGCTTTTAATTGGTACCTAACGTCAAATTCACAGTGTATTTTATATATGATATATATTTAATCGCAGATTTTGAAGTTTCCTGTTATTGTCCTTGAAATATCAGATATTTTCTCTTTATCACAAAGTTATACAGTGTCAAAAATCTGAGGAATTTTTTAAAACCTATAAAGCCTTTCCAAGAATGAAATCTCTCATATTTACTTGGTGGTTAAAGTAAAAGTCTCGCGCTGTCTTTCGCGTACCACAATCAACTATTTTGTGCTACAAGCGAATATTCAAATTTGTCTCAATTTGCGAAAATTTTACGAATTCGAAAAGCTGATGATGGTGAATATACGAGTGTTTGCAAATGAATCTAAAAAGTAAACTTTTACGTCTTATTATTGGTATAAATTTGTTCGTGATGATTATAACACGACTCCGAATAATTAGCAAACAGCAGTAAGGTTTATGTTATCAATCTCCTGAGGTATAGGTCAGCAGTCTCTACAATATGTTTTATGATAATGATTATTTTTATTGAATGTGAATGTAGAGAGTAAAAGTGATATAATGGTCTGTCCCTCTATTTTACTCAAATTTGATAACTGTTCATGTTTTAAATATTTGATGATATTTTTGTGAATTTTTTTAAAATTTTGTCCCTAATTAAATATAACGTTTCTTATTCACTCAATAATGTCAATTGCCGGCTAAATGTGAAAGTTATTTCACAATTGACAATTTCAGCAAGACGCTATTAACGCATTTCCCCGTTTTCGTTCCAATAGTAATTATCGAACTCCTACGTCGCATTGAATTTTGAAAAAGCCATTCACTGCTTATTTCTTAATATCTTATGGTTATAAAGGAAGAAAATACTGGCGAATCCAGAATATTTTACCATACAAGGGAGGATATGGGGGCACTAGGTCCGCCATTGTTTTTTAAATGAACGAAACTCAAAAGATGTCCTTACCATTGCTGAAATACTTTGTCATATATAAATCTGATCAAGCAATAGCATAGTACACGTACGAGTGAGTCTTAATGCAGATATCAATAATTACCCCTTTCATACTCGTACAGTTTAAACTTGTTTCAAAAATTATAAAAATGAAATTGAACTGTTATATGCTTTAAAATTGAATGAATACATAAATGAAAATTTGTGCTGCTGTAATAAAATCTTTCCAAATATATACAAAATGTCCGTGTTTTTATTGGCTCTGTGGTCAACTGGGTTTGGGGGTTCTATTCCTGGGTCGGGTGAGCGGAATTAACTTGATACTTTTTAAGGAGGAATTTTAGAATTTCCCCCTCGTTACTATAAGAAGAAAGTCTATCTGGGGAGGGTGGGTGTGAACACCTAAAGGAGTAGATAGCGCGCTTGCCTCGGAGTCCAAAGATCGCGGGTTCGATTCCGTGCGCTCCTGGCTCTAAGCAAATTACCTTTTACAAAAAATCAATTTGAGGTACTACAAGAAGAATCAACGAACTGAAAAAGCCAAGAAAATTGGGCTGATCACTACGTAAAAAAGTGGGATATGAGGAGTTCGAGTAGAGACAAAGAAGACTTTTAAAACACAAATTCTCTCATTTTGAAATCAGTATAACATACAAGAATTTATTCTTATCTGAATGAATTGGAATAATAACAGACTAGGCTACTTGCTTTCACCAAAAATTAACTACATCTGATTGTATTTTTGTTCTACGTTAATAAATATTTCTGTGACATCATCTATTTCAAAGTATGCTTGAGCATTTACAAGTTTATCCTAGTTACAGCGTTTTAAAGAATAATATACAAATAGAGTTGAAAATGTTACATTTACGCAAAACTAAATCAGTTCACCTGAAATAACTTGAAACATTCAGAAAATGCAAATGAACTTGGTTCAAGAGACAGAGCGTGTAGGACTGGCATCTAATTCGGCCTTTTTTCTTCAGTCATTCTTGACTGCGCACTGGGTACAAGCAACACCTTAATTAGAGGGCTAACCTGCAATGCTTTGGTCTAACTTTTCACTCGAAAATTTCAAAGCATTTTTATACATTTTTGATAAAGTATCGATTTTCATATTTGAATAGGTGTACCAGTACATAAGTTATCTATCAAATTGATTCACACTTTATCTGAAATAGATAAACATATCTACACAAAGTAATTAATTTTGTGACGGCTGAAGTAATGCATTTCAATTTGGGAAAGAAATTTGAATGTAAAAAAGTTATTACAAATGACAATCCTACATAGACCCTCAAATTAACAAAAAAAGTAAGATAAATCACTATATTTTCTTGGTGAACATTAACCGTCTTCCCAATTTGTGACACTGACTGAACTTTGTGAACAACGCATAAATTGAGATCGGGAAGATTTTGGTAGCCCAAGCAGGAATGCTTTTTTTTTCGTTATATACGTTAGACATATTCTCCAATTTTAATAACAAATACGTATAATTTTCGAAAAAAATCTCTAGCTCAACTACGTTTCATTTTCTTAAAAATAAACCTTATAGTCTACTCCTTCCCAGCACTAATATATAATTATATGGAGGTTACCAATCAACATGCTGACATCTGAAGTTGACTCTTACCAAACCTAATAGCACAATGGCATATTCACATTTCTAGGAAGATAGACGCGTGGTCTATTCTGCAAGAAAGTGGGCACATGATTCTGGTTTCCCAATGCTGTACTTTTAAGTGTTATAATTTAGGTAAGAGCTTTTCCAAATGATGGTAGATTCACATCTCGTTATCTTCTGTAGCAGAATACAGTGTGCGTATCTCGCAAAAGTTTTGTGTGCATTTTACATGACGGAGTTGCGACTTTTCCCTACCCAAAAATAAACTTCATCAGAACTTTTGATCGAATTTAATTTAAAATGAACAAAATTACATTTATAAGTGGACAGAGGGGTGTCTTATTGCAGATTTTCCCATACATCCTTTGTTGCACGTTTTGATGCAGGCAAACGTACTATCCCGTTTTACATGTCAACCTTGCAACAAACTTGAAGAGAAGACAAACTTCGGCATAAGGGACAACTTTGCCATGGTTGCGGTTCATACGAACACGAATCTGAGGCCCTTGGTGGACGTCGCATTCAGTCTCCTCCTAAAAGGTAGGTACATTATAAGAAACACTGAAATCAAACGAACAAATTCAAATAAAACGACGAAATTCATGAAGCGAAGACTAAGGATTCGATAAAGCAAAATATAATTATTACAGCTGCCCATTTTAGTACATGGTATTATATATTTATATTTATTAACAATTACTTAATCTAACGCTCCAATGCGGATTACATGTATTTCGGAACCCAAGCAGTGTTAGCCTTATGTAAACATCATATGACATTAAAGATTGTAATATCAAAGGACGGAAGATTCATGGAATCATGAACATGGAGTTGCACTATACTTTGCAAATATTTACTTACGTTGTCTCGGCAGTCTTGTAGATAATGAGACTTTGACAGGCTATTGTAAGAAACATGGTGTTTTTGCTACTTTAAATAATAAAAGGTTGTCTTCAGCAGGGAGCTACCTTGTACGAGTGAAGGTTCCTACCTTCAAGAAGGGGTGACGCATTTCGGACAGCTGGAATAAGTCCTTCTTTATACCCTGCTTCTTTATTGGCAAAAGTTTTCCTTCTGAAATTATAACCGAAAAATAGACCATATAAACTTCAAGCTGATGGTGGGCTTTTAAAGGAAAGTTTTCAATTTAAAGCATCACTGAATTTTGACAGGGAAGCCTTACTAGGCACCCGCAAGTCTGTGAATGAAAAATAGATCGAACTTCTTCCGAGAAAAAGTACAAGATGGTATGAAACCTACAAATTCCATATAAATATGATGAATCCCCGCCTTCCAGGGGCATAAGGCCACACTTTTTAAATTTTATGGATGACATCCTGCGCGCGCACCGATTTTCGTCCGTTCTCCAAAAAAAAAAAAAAAAAAAAAAAAAAAA